GGAAGCGGTTCCATGACGAGATGGGCACTCGTCTTCTTTTCAGCACAACATTTCATCCGCAGACCAATGGTCAGAGTGAGCGGACTATTCAGACTCTTGAGGATATGCTGCATGCTTGCGTATTGGATTTCGTTGGGAGTTGGGATACGTATCTTCCGTTAGCGGAATTTTCGTATAACAACAGTATCACGCCAACATCGATCAGCCTCCTTTTAAGATGCTCTACGGGAGGAAATGCAGGACCCCTATTTGTTGGGGCGAGGCCTGTCAACGAGTTATGGGGAGCACTGAGGTGGTGCTCAAGACCATTGAGCTGATTCAGTAGGTTCAAAGCAGGCTCCAGACAGCTCAGAGTCGGCAAAAGAGTTATGCTGACATGTACCGGTCAGAATTGGAGTTCCAGGTGGGAGATATGGTTCTCCTGAAGGTGTAACCTTAGAAAGGTGTCATACGGTTCATGAAGTGGGGCAAGCTGGGCTCCAGGTATATTGGTCCCTTCAGGGTTTTGGCTCGAGTGAGTCGGGTCGCGTATTATCTGGATCTTCCAGCCGAGCTCAGTCAGATTCACAACACCTTTCATGTCTCAGCTGTGGAAGTGTTTAGTGGATGATTTTGCAGTTATACCTTTGGAGGATATTCAAGTGGATGATCGCCTGAATTATATTGAGAGGTCGGTGGAAATTTTAGATCGGAAGATGAAAACCTTGAGGAACAAGGTTGTGGAGCTGGTGAAGGTGTAGTGGTTGCACTACAAGGGGTCAGAGTGGACTTGGGAACCCGAGGAGGAAATGAGGGAGCACTATCCAGAGTTGTTCGAGACGACGGACTTCGAGGACGAAGTCTGATTCAAGTGAGGGAGAATTGTAATGCTCGATAATATTCAAGGTATTTATTATATTTTTGGGTTAATTAATTTTTATGATTTAGGCCTCGAACCATTGGATCCGTTCTTATTGGGCTTAGGGGTGCAGTACGTGGGGCATACCACCCTATGTACGCGAGGCCTACTGTTGAGGAAGGAACGTAGGTGCCATGCACATACGCGCTACGTACAAAGGAGTATGCGCAACGTACGTGGCCAGTCCCCAAAACCGTAATATTTAGGGTTTGAGCACTATTTAAAGAACATTATGACCTAAGGATCTTCTTTACCAGCCTCTCGCTTGTCCCTAAATAGCCTCCACGAAACCCTAACCATATTATTGAGAGTTATTGAGCTTGGAAGGTCTTTTGAGTGCATTTGGTGTGTTTTGTCTCATTTTCAAGGAAGATAAGGTTGGTGCAAGGTGGGGGTTCAAGGAGAAGCTTGTAGATCCGGATTTTCTGCTTCATTTCTAGCTTGAGCAAGGTATAAAGTCTTGATCTTGATCTTTAGAAGCTTAGATCTCCATGTTTTAGCTTTTGGACCCTTTTTGGTCCCAAGATGAGCTCTTGTGGACTACTTCCGTTTCTGAAGCTTAGAGTTGCTACTCTTGGTGTTCTTTGGGTCCTAACGTGAGAAAGTTGCAACCTTTGAAGCTTTAATCCATCCATGCATGAGTAATGGCCATTTTCATGGAAGTAGATTGTCATATTTTGAGTTTGGGTCCATTTGGGGCATGCAAAGCCACCAAGATGTCGAATTTATGGGTTAATACGTTGTATAGGATTCAGATCTATGTTTGGGACTCATGGACTTAAGTGGTTAAGGACTTATTGTAGAAAAATCTTATTGGGTGAGTACGCTGGGCGTACAAGCTCGCACGTGCAACGTACGAGCCATGCAGCGTGTACGCTTAGCGTACAGCCGAGTACGCCCCACGTACTCAGGCAGATGGGCTTGGCGTTGTTTGGGCCTCAGATTGGTCCATTTTCTTGGATCTTGTTGTTTTGGGACTTTTGGGCCATCTGGAATTAAGATCTTGGATTAAGGAATTTTAGTGGGCTTTAGGGCAAGGCCCATTTGAGGGTTTGGGCCCAATTTGGAAAATTGGGCCATTACTGGGCCTTTGTGGATCTATTGATTTTGGGCCTTAGTGGTTTGTGGTTTTGGGCCTTAGTTGTGGATCAAGCTAGGCCAAGGGTAAAATGGTCATTTTACCCCAAGTGTGGATCATTGATTTATAGAGTGGACCCCAAGTATTGATTGGGTGTTATTTTTGTATTGATAGCTCAGAGAGTCGTCAGGGCAGCAACTAGGGATTTCTTCTATGAGACTCAACATTCGAGGTGAGTTTCATCACTGGGTTTAGCGGGTCAAAGGCACCAATGTCGTCCCTTGTTGATATGTTAGGATGCTAGGAGTCTGCGTGACCCTCGCATGTGTTATGTGCTGCTATACGTACCGGGCGAGGCTCAATGCCAGGCGAGGCTTGAGGACTAGAACATATGCTACTGTTATTGATTTCTATATGTGTTAGCATGATTATATGATACTGATTGTATGTGTATAGCGGGTGAGGCCTAGTGACAGCCGAAGCCTGAAAATAACAGATCTGTATACTGCGCGAGGCTCGATGCCGGGCGAGGGCCCGGTATATGATTTATTATGTATGGTATAGGGTAGTTTGGGGAACTCACTAAGCTTTGTGCTTACTATTTTCAGTTTATGTTTCAGGTACTTTCGGTTGCAAAGGGAAGAGGTCGGGTTGAGTGCATCGCACACACCATTGAGATTCTGCATATGATGTTTTACTCTGATTTTATGACATTTGATACACTGATTTTATTTGAGATGTTTGTATGATATTGGAAATACTATTTTATCTATTTTAAAAATTTGAAAAGTTTGCGACCATATTTTGGGATGTTACAAAGAGAGAGAATGACAGTGCAGGTACTAAAGACAACATAGGTTTTCTAACGAAGGCGCTAAGATCCGATTGATATGATGGTTTTCTCTAGCGACAAAAAGGTGACAAACTCTGATGCTTTTGTTTGTGTTAAATCTAGAGACATCGAGGCTAGGGCAGATGTTGCAGGCATTAGACAGAGGTGGATGGTGGATGTCGATAATAGGTAGAGGTGGTCGATAGTTGATCACTTATAGGACTTCAAATAATTCTTGATGCTTTTGTGTTTGGAGACAAGGAGAGAAGAACCAAAATATAAAAACAATGGAAAATAAAATAATAAGAGTAAAAGTTCATTAAAAAAATTTAGGGACCAAAACCATTAAAATTATCACATTTTAGACCAATGATGCACGTCGAAAAAAATAACCAAAACTTTGTGTTTTTGTAAATCACATGGACCAGTTTTGCAAATTACTCAAATAATAATAATACTCATATAAAATAATAATATGTTAGCGGTATTTATAATAATGTATTTATGTACAACTAGACGTGTGCCCGCGCAAAGCGGCGGCGACAAATAATGTCCGGACGGTGATTAATTTATTTCGGTGAATAGTTTCATTGCGGCTATCGGATCAAACCATAAAAACCTTTAAGTATAACCAAGTTACAATATTGATAATTTTTTCGTTTTTACAATCCTCAAACATTGAAAAATCCATTTATGTGTCACTTCTTTGTAAATTGCAATTAATCACTCATTCATAATATTAACTTCTAATAACCGTAACATCTTAACTTGTTTCACAACTTTGACCGGTTTGTTGGGTTGTAAATTCAATCCGTTTTTTTTATAATCTATTTTAAGTTGTTTTTTGTAGTCCTGAAACCATTTTAATTTGTAAATTTAACGCAAATGTTTATCTATTTATTTGTTTATTATAGCATTTTACTTTTATTTTTTAACAATATATTTTTCAATTTTTTTTATCATTACCTCTCCGGAAAATCCTATGATGTGAAGAAAACCACCAGAACGTATCTCACCCGTATTTAAGATTTTCAACCTACTAAATATACAAACACCATGATATAATGGTTATAGATTTGATACCAATTAAGATTTTCAACCTACTAAATATACAAATGTAATATGTGTATTGAATGGTAAGCATAAGTTGATTGTACATGATGTAGTAGGTTTGGTACCTCTTAAATTTCAAGAAATGTCTAAAATGCTTTATATAATAGTAAAGATAATAACATGGTGATATTTGTAAGATTTATCAAGGTTGTCAAGAGATTGGGATCCTAAGTAGGATCGTTTTTGGATTTGCAAGATCGGGATCGGGATCATAAGATCCAACAATATAAACATAATTTTAATTTATATTTTTTAACATGAAAAATATTTCAAACATTCAATTTTTTATTCAAAAGTATAAAAACTTCAAAATGTTAGTCATAAATCACAACACTAAATGATAAACGGTAAATTGGTAAAGAATAAGAGACATAAAATGGTAAAAAAAAATTCATTTGCAAATAAAATAAAAAAAAAATCAAGGTATGTATTTAAATTATATACTTAGTAAATTAATGAGAAAATGTATAGAAAAATTAATAATAAGTACAAAGACATTTGTCATATATGCACTACACATATTATTATTTTGTATAAATACATTCCTATAAATTTCATGTTTGTCAAAATCGCGATCCTGATCGTAAGATCGTACGATCCTAGGTATGAAAAACGATCCATATCGTAAACAGGTCGTATTTGGGGTAAAATTACAGGTAGGATCGTAAGATCATAAGTAGGATCGTATGATCGGAATATTCAAAGTAGATTTTGTTACAACTTACAAGTCAAATTACATGGGAGTAACAAACTCCCATAATTAAAATAAAAATTTTATGTTTTATGTTTTGAGAAACAACTACTTAGGTCTAATATTGTAAAAGTTAATAAACATATTAAAGGTAGAATATTAGTACAAAATAAAAGTACGAATGTTAAAAGTCGATGCCAAGTAAGTTTTAAGGACAAGCATGTGATTCTTCAAAAGTTCAGGGGTTGATTTGGAATTGAATATGGTAGTTGGGGTTCCGATAAAGTGATAAAATGAAATGGTCCATAGACGGAACGTAAAGTGAATTGAAAGAAGTAAAACGCTTGCAAGCCAAAAGCAGTTGATGCTCACAAGTGATCTATGAACTATGTCGGATGTTCCGATGCCGCCGGATCTACTCGCCCAAATCCTCTCATGGTTGCCGGTAGCTCCGCTTCTGCGATTCAGGTCTGTTTCCAAAACCTTTCGTGCCCTAATTGATAGCGACTATGTGATTAAGCTCCAACTCAATCACTCACTCCAAACCAACACTAATCTCAATATCATTTTCGGCGGTGATAGAACGCTTTGCTATCTTAACTTAGATTCATCTGCTAAAGTTGTAAACAAAATAGATAACCCTTTATACTTTGCAATTTTCGAAACTGTAATTTTGGGTTCTTGTAACGGCGTGGTGTGCCTGTGTACGACTGAACCGGATAATGAAATTGCGTTTTGGAATCCAATAGTCCGGAAGTTTAAGAAAATACGGTTAGCCCCAGCGAAATGTTCAGAAGGTCTTGGTCGAGGAGTATGCATCAAGGGTTTTGGTTACGACCATGTGCACGATGACCACAAGGTGGTGAGATTGGTTCAGTATTGTAGCTTGCATAATGAACTTGTTCACTCAAAGATAGAGGTTTTCAGCTCAAAAACAGATGCATGGAGAGAAGTTGGGGATTTCCCTTACTACCTTTGTTACAGAAGAAACTTCAATACATTTACTAAGGGTGCTTTGCATTGGTTGGTGAGTCGAAAACCTGGAAAGAGGGTTGATTTTCTGATTGCTGCTTTTGACCTCACAAATGATGAGTTGCGATTGGTTCCCCGACCTGAACTTTCAAATGAGCATTTCCATGTCAATTTGGCTATATTGGGAGGATGTCTGTCTATGGTCTGTCATTATCCCATGAAAAATGTAGACATATGGGTGATGAGAAGTTATGGAGTCAAAGATTCATGGACTAAGTTGATTTCAACCACAGATGTGAAGCTCATCAGGGAATTGGATTTCTTGAGGCCTGTTTCATATTCTAGGAGTGGTGATGAAGTGCTCTTTGAAAAGAACTTTGACAGCCTTTACTGGTATCATCTTGAGAATAAGACAGTGAAAAGATTTAAGGTTGCTGGCATGCCAAGGCTATTTGTTACTGAAACCTTTACAGGAAGCCTTGTTCAGGTGAACATTGGTAACCCTTCTGGAAGTGGTGCAAAAAAGGAGAAAATCGAGAAAAAAGATGACAACAAAAGAGATGACTTTTTATCCAAGGGGTTCCGGCTTGTACTTTAAAGAAAGAAGTAAGTTAAGTGAATTTATCTTTCACATGTTATCTTTGTAGGTGGTAGTTATCTATATATCTTTATATCATTATTTAATGCAGTTAGCTCATGATACTGCTAGATTTTCAAAATGATTAATATATGTTTGAGCATGAAAATAGCAATTCCTGACCTGAAAAGAAAACTAGATATGTATATGTTTTGTGGGAACTGAAGGAGTTAATGATAATTGCTTTCATACCCAATGTTTTGTAAGGTCTTGCTTTAAGAAAAAGGTATTGTAGATGGAGGAATATCAACTTACTTTCAAATTTTAATTCTGTTGTTTTTGTACTATTAGTTATGTTGTTTACAGTCTTCCATGTTTTAAGCTAGGTGATTGACAAGAACATTTCGGTTTCTTAGGTGTTAATATATTTCCTGGTTAAAATGTCAAATGCAAGAAATAACAACATACCTTCATTTATTTGTTTTTATAGCATCATACTTTCATTTCATTGTTACATCATTATACCTTGAAAAATCCATCTAGTTATAGTAACATCGTCCAAATACAAAGCAATTTTCACTGCTATAATTGGGTGAAAATTTCAAAGTAGAATATCCTAATAAGAATAAATTGAAATTATAATGAATTTTTCCAAGTACAATGGGTTACAATTCTGTAGTTAAATGTTTCAAAACTAGGATGCTATAATAAACAAATAAAGAAAGTACATTGCTATTTCTTGTTGAATCCTTCTGATGCCCATTTTACTGAATCTTTTGTTGCAGGATCGATGAAGACCTCATGGGAAATCATATGGAAAGATGTTTGGGTTTTTCTTTAAAGATTTAATGTGTTATGAAATCCTGGTGTTAGAGTCTTAACTTAGAATAGGTGGGTATGGATTAGTAATACCTTTAATTAGGAGTTTTTGATGGTTGGATCCTGTTTAAATGACTTTACTTGTGTGCATCCAAGGATCGTTTGTTGACTTAACAGCTTTCACCGAAGTATCTGCTTCGAGTATACAGTAATAATACTCATCAACTGCCTTCTATATACATACTGAATTTTGTAATATTCGGTTTGGATTATGTTCTATTTTTGTTGGTTGCCTTTATCTTGATGTTGGTGTATTCGTTTCATTTTGTTGTTTTTTTTTTCATTGGTGCTCGATTGATTTAATGAGGTTATATCTTGATGTGTTAAAGAAAGTCATGGAACTGCTTGAAGGATTGACAATATTAGCTTATTGGAGAGCTTTTTGGGTCAAATAAGTTTTCAAAGTCAAACAAGCAAGATGACTTTTCTACAACATGGTTATTCACTTTGCTTGTAATTTTACAAATTCGTTACACTGATTATTTTTATATATAATTATAATAATATTCAATTCAGTCACATGGTTTTTTATTTTGTAGATTCATAAATAAGCTTTGTAAAAATGTTTTAACGTAATTGGGATACTTTAAGGTTTTTATATTGTTGAGTTAGTACCTGGTAGTTAGAGGCAGATCCTAGAAGGCGAATGGTTCCTGTAGAGCAATCACTTACGGGAGAAGTGTTTCAAATGGTTGAAATTGACCATCTTCATTTTGAACGGCTTGCGTGGATTAAAATCCTTGGCTTTCCTCTTCATCTTCGCGATTCGGGTAATTTCACCACTATTGTTAGTAACGTTGGGAAAACTTTGCAAGTTACTGAATGCAACTGGGATAGTGTCGATTTGTCACAAGGTAAAGCTTGTATCCTATACGAAGAATTTCCGGTTTTTATGGCGGACAAAGTCTACAAAGTTGGGGTGATTATGTTCGAAGAAAAATGACATCCTTTCATGTTGGATACGGCTGTTGAATCTTCCGACTTTGAGGAAGATGAAGATGATGATGAAGATGGGGTCTCCGATTCCTGGTTGCAACACAAGAATCAAAACAATGGGTTGGAAGATGGGGAGATTGCCTAGAATGTTGATGTTCACCATGGGGAGCCCCGATCCTGTTTGTGAAGAAGAAGGACGAGACACATCGTATGTGTATAGACTACCGGGAGCTGAACAAGGTAACGGTGAAGAACCGTTACCCACTTCCAAGGATAGATGATTTGTTTGATCAGCTTCAGGGAGCATCTTGGTTCTCCAAGATTGATCTACGGTCAGGGTATCACCAGATGCGAGTCAGGGACGATGATGTGCAGAAGACAGCTTTTAGGACTCGCTATGGTCATTATGAGTTTGTGGTGATGCCGTTTGGGCTCACCAATGCCCCAGCCGCGTTCATAGACCTCATGAACCGCATGTGCAGACCAATGCTGGATCGGTCTGTAATAGTCTTTATTGATGACATCTTGGTTTACTCCATGACTCAGGAGCAGCATGAGGAACACCTGAGGGAGGTGCTGGAGACACTGAGGAGGGAGAGACTTTTTGCGAAGTTCTCCAAGTGTGAGCTCTAGTTGCGCGAGGTGCAGTTCTTGGGCATCTCGTCAACCGGAAGGGTATTCTGGTCGATCTGTCCAAGATAAAGGTCGTGATGCAGTGGGAGATTTTGAGGTCTCCATCTGAGATTCAGAGTTTTCTGGGTCTAGCGGGTTATTACAAGAGATTTATCTAGGACTTCTCCAAGATTGCAGTTCCTTTGACCCGACTGACCAAAAAGTCGGTGATATTCCGCTGGGGGCCTGAGCAGCAGGCAGCCTTCGAGACCCTTAGACAACGGTTATACGAGGCACCGATTCTGACCTTGCTAGAGGGAGTTGATGACTTCGTAGTTTACTATGATGCCTCGATCACATGCATGGGTGCAGTTCTGATACATAGGGGCCATGTGATAGCTTATGCGTCGAGGCAGCTGAAGCCTCACGATGCTAACTATCCGACGCACGATTTAGAGCTGGGGGATGTGGTTTTCTGTAACACCGGATTGCTGGTATGTATTTTATTTATGAATTTTATGTATTTTCTCTGGGACTCGACGAGTTGATGGCCCAACTCGTCGAATAGAGACGGGATCCGCGGGAAGTTTAAGTGACCTACTCGACGAGTCGGGGACTGACTCGGCGAGTAGGTGCTGTTTGGGTGAAACCCTAAATTTGAGGGTTTGCACCCTATTTAAACGTCTTATTGCAGCCTCCATCGTCCCTTATGCTCCCAGAACACCTCATATCGAAACCCTAGCCGCTTTGAGTGATCTAAGGCCATTTTTGGTGCTTTTGGGTGGTTTGTGAAGCTTGAAAGGAAGGAAGAAGCTTGGGAATTCGAGTTGGGGCTTGTAGATCCAGAGATCTTATTCCATTTTCAGCTCAATCAAGGTAAATGCCCCCTGTTTTGGTCTTCAATTTGGTTGTTCATCTTTAGAGCTTAGACTTTGGGTGCATTTAGGGCTTTCTAAGCCATTTTCGGATTTGTGAGGTGATTCATGGGGTTCTACTTCCAGATCTGGGTCATTGGAGGGGTCTCATGGCATAAAGGTGTCAACTATATAGCCATGAGAGCCCCATGCACATTATAGAGCACCTTTCATGGATTTTTGAGCCAAAGACCCCATGCTTGTGCACCAAGTTTGGAACTTTACGTATAAAATGGACATTAGGAGGCCAGATCTATGGTTTTGACATGTTAAGACCCATTTAAATCGACTGTATAGAAAGGGTCAAGAAGGGACTCGACGAGTTGTTCTTAGAACTCGGCTAGTCGGTATGTAGTGACCATTAAATCCCTTTTGTGGTTGGACTAGTGGTTCGGGAAGGAAGTCCCGTAAATGTTTAGACTCGTAAAGGGACCTGGGAATTGTGGGACTCGACGAGTGTATGAACAGACTCGACGAGTCCAAGGCAATCTCCCAACCTTTGAAGATGGACTCGATGAGTTGTTCATACAACTCGGCGAGTCATAGACTAGACACGTTCTTGAGGGAGATGAACTTGCCGAGTTGAAGGAAGAACTCGGCGAGTCGGATGAAGATGGTCCCGATGATTTGAATGAAGGAGAACTCGACGAGTTCTCGCAAGGCTTGACGAGTGGTGACGAGGTTGGATCGGGTTATTGGAGCATGGACTCGACGGGTTGGTAGACCAACTCGGCGAGTCAGGTCAACCGGGCGTTGACTTTGACCAATGTTGACTTGCCTGGTTTTGGTATTGACCCTGGTTGGGTTGTATGTTCGGTTTGATGACTTGAAGGTTTTCGTGTAGGGATTGAGGAGTCGAGGAGGGCCGACCTTCGCGCCGAGGACAGTTCAGACACTACACGACATCGAGGTGAGTTACCTTCCAGTAGCGGTGGGTCTACGGCCACAATGTCGGCCCACCAGTAGGCGTTGTATGTTGGATGAATGTCTTTGTGATATCCATCTAGGTTTGCTACTACCTATTATGTTTATGTGCTAGCATGATATGATGTTACGTGATGATGGTAGTAGTAGGGGAAAATAGTCCCCAAGTTACCGGCCGATAGGGACGAAGGGGTAGCTTAGTACCCAGCTATGTTAGATTATGATTACGTGACTGTATGTGATAGATCGGTTGAGAGGGCCGAAGGGGTAGGCCAGCACCCATATATTCTAGGCAAGGTCACCGGTCAAGAGGACCGAAGGGGTATGCCAGCACCCAGATATGCTAGGCAAGGTCACCGGTCGAGAGGACCGAAGGGGTAGGTTGGGCACCCAGATATGCCTGGCAGTATGTATGTTATGTGTTTGTATGGTATGTGGTATGATGGGGGAACTCACTAAGCTTCATGCTTATAATTTTCAGTTTTGTTTCAGGTACCTCTTCAGCGAAGGGGAAGGAGCCGTCGCGGTAGCGGCACATCACACTCACGCATGATTTCCGCATTGGGTTTTCTGGGATTGTACTCTGATTATTACTATTATCCGATGATATGTTTTTGAGACACGACGTAATGGTTTTATGAATTAATATAATATTAGCAATATTTGATAAATGATTTCACATGATTACTTAATTAAAAATGAAATTTTTAGCCTTGAAAAACGGGACGTTACATTTTCGCCCTCAATATTTGGCGACATTACCTATATGGGGGCCGCTGTACCATTTACACGGACCATAAGAGTTTGAGGTACCTCATGGATAAGCCGAATATGAACATGAGGCAGCGTAGGTAGTTAGATGTGGTAAAGGATTATGACTGTGAGATCTTTTACCACCCGGGCAAGGCCAATGTGGTGGGCGATGCCTTGAGCCGCAAGGCGGTAGCGGCCCCGATTCGAGGCATTTGTTTGAGGATGACAGTGATTACTCCATTGTTGGAGTAGATTGGAGAGGCGCAGGTGGAGGGCCTGAAGGAAGAGCACCAGAAGTGTGAGAGGATTGTGGGTCGGGTGGCCTCATTTGATCATGACAGTCGAGGGTTGTTGACTCTGCATGGAAGGGTCTGGGTTCCGTACTGGGGCGGAGTACGACATGTTTTGATGGATGAGGCCCATAATTCGAGGTTCTCCATCCATCCTGGGGCAACGAAGATGTACAGAGATCTTCGACCCGATTACTGGTGGCCTTGCATGAAGCGGGATGTAGCTTGGTACGTAGAGAGATGCCTAACCTACAGGAAGGTCAAGACAGAGCACCAGAGGCCTCACGGCAAGATGCAACCGTTAGACATCCCCGTGTGGAAGTGGGAGGACATTACTATGGATTTCATCACTAAGCTTCCCAGGACCGCACGTGGGGTTGATTCGATATGGGTCATCGTGGATCGGTTGACCAAGAGCGCTCACTTTATCCCGATCCTGGAGAGCATATCGGTCGAGAAATTGGCCAAGATTTATGTGCGAGAGGTAGTGGCGCGACATGGACTGCCTGTCTCGGTGGTGTCTGATCGAGTTGTCCGTTTTACTTCCAGATTTTGGAAGCGGTTTCACAACGAGATGGGTACTCGTCTCCACTTCAGCACCGTTTTCCACCCCTAGACAGACGAACAGAGCGAGAGGACGATTCAGACTCTCGAGGACATGCTTCGTGCATGTGTTTTGGATTTCAGTGGCAGTTGGAATACGTATCTTCCGTTAGCGTAATTTTCGTATAACAACAGTTACCACGCT